TTGTGATTTTGGATAGATGCCATCTGAAATGTTTTGCTTCATGTCCAGCCCTAAAATTTATCCTCTGTAAATGCGATCCCATCTTCTAACATATGCCCCCTATGCTATCTTATAGCCCCATAATTTACACATCAGCTACATGTACTAAAAGAACACATTGTCTATGAATGAGGGTTACCTATCTTTCCCCAGGAGAATGGCTCCCCCCTTTGTGGCCTTGTCCATATCTCATCTCTCCTCGCTCCTGTGTGTCAGAAGAATGGCAGAAAGGCCCATTCTTTCCCCGGTAGTTAGGCCGGATTGCGCCGGCTGTGTGCGGTAGATCTGGTCCTTTGTAACCGCGTCGGCCAAAGCCGGTCCAGACAGGTTGATTTGTGGGCACCCAGTAATGCTCGCTAACAACTTGCCAGGAGGCCATACAGATAACACACTATAAATATCAGCCGGCAAACACACAGAGAGCCAGCCATAGATACTGCCTCTCCTTTCACAATCCTTGTCAGTATCTGTACAGATGGAGATGAGGCTATCACTCATGCGGGTACAGAAGTCTCGGCGTGGAAAGTTTTCAGTCACAAAAGTCGCCCGCTGGCTGGGGAACATGTTCAGGGCTAATAAATGTCTACAGGCTCACAAAGGAGAAAAATGGCATCTCTGACAAAAGAGTAGCGTATAAGTAAGATGCAGAGGATCAATCATGTATATGTGTGAACAGTGTCTAATAGTAGACATAAATAATACCAGTTACTTTCTTGTCGTGAGAAAGAACTCAACTGACAATTGAGATGCGTACGTGCGTGAATAAACGTGGCATGATCATCCCAGGAGCCTGTTTGAATAGGGAAGATGTGCAATGATGAATTTGATGTCATGTTACGATGACGTGTGCTAGAAATGTCATCTACACTAGAAGGTCACAACAAGGCGTAAATGTTGGGCCTCGTTTATGCCTGGCTTTTACGAAGTTCATTTAAATAATTTGCCAACTGGAAAATTCGTAAAGCCAAAGTGATTTAGCCAAAGTTGATTTAGCCTTTCAGTTATGGCCTGTTTAATAGCATTAAAATTCTAGACGTACCCTTTACTAAAAATGTTTATAGATCATCTAAATAATTTGCCACCAGGAAGAGTCATAAAGCTGAAGTGTTGTTGATTCAGCCTTTTAGTTATGGCCTGTTTAGTAGCATTAAAATTCCAGACATACTCTTTACTGAAAGTGTTTCTAGTTCATTTAAATATTTTGCTAACAGGAGGAATCATAAAACCAAAGTGTTGTCGATTCAGCCTTTCTGTTATGGCCTGTTAGCATTAAAATTCTAGACGTACTCTTTACTAAGAATGTTTATAGTTCATTTAAATAATTTGCCACCAGGAAGAATCGTAAAATTAATGTAAAATGTTGTTGATATAGCCTTTCAGTTATGGCGTGTTTAATAGCATTAGGATTCAAGACGTACCCTTTATTGAAAATGTTTCTAGTTCATTTAAATAATTTGCCACCAGGAAGCTTCAAAGAATCGTAAATGTGAAATGTTGTTGATAATAGCCTTTCAGTTATGGCCTGTTAAATAGCATTAAAATTCAAGACATACCCTTTACTAAAAATGTTTATAGGAGCTTTATGAGTGCCACCTTGAGCGCATCTTGCGAACACCCCCTTCAGCTGCAACACTTGAGATTATTGCAAAGTGTCAGTCTGCAGAACTCATCAGAAAAGCTCATAAACCACTTGGTATTGATCCACCAGAGGACACTGTCAGAGGGCTTAGCATTACCTGTGCAGGAATTGAAAACAGTCAGTACTGTAAAACCTGAAATATTTGCGGTACCAGTATCTTTTAATAGGAGGCAAAAATCTGAAGGTTCTGGGTTCAAATCCCTGGTATGCCCCCATGAAAAGGCACTTAACACCTATATCCTTACTTAAAAAAAGGTGAAAATGAGTACCTAGCTTTGGATAGGGATGTTGTCTTGGGTAGAATATTCATCAGGAGGTCCTGTGTTTGAGGAGTGCCATTTAAGATCCCACCATGTTTATAAAAAAGAATAGGGTCTTCCCGATGTGAGTGGTTCAAACTTTACTGTCTAGTCTCTGGGTTGACATCTTGATATCTTGAAAAGGTGATAGTCACTTGTTATGTGTTTGTATCTTAATTTGAAGATTAACAAAATCTAAAACTCCTGCACTCAAGTACCTCTTCAAAGTCAGCACCAAGGACAGATGCCATTGTTTTGGTGAGGTTCAGGCAATGACATATTGAAATATCAATCTGAAAATGAAGCGAAAAATCAGATTGTTGCTAAATAAATATGGTGATAAATTGGAAATAAGGAAAACTGATAATTTAGGCTCATTGGGGGCATTCTCAGTCTCTTAATCGTCTCAATTTCCAAAGCCAGACCCAGACTGTTATCCTGCGGCACAAACTGCACATTAAGGATGACATCTGTGCACACATTGATTCTGGCCTGCGTCCCAAAACACAAACTCCCAGTCTGACAAATGGGAAATAATATTTGACACTTTAAGCAGCTAGTAACGTCTGCTTTAAATTGGGAAGTTGCTAAGAGCCTTTCATAAAACAAAATCAGATTAGTGAAGGTGACGTCTGCGTAATGTAACTAGGAGAACAGCTTCGAGGCATGACACACCAGTTCTGTGTTTTGGTATGCACATGCTGTTTCATTGCTGTGTAGGTTGTATTTTGAGCCCTGACGTCATATTGTCATGAAGTCATCAAGAAATTAGTAATTGAAAGCATCTGAATCATTAGTACTCTCACTTAGATACTACAATATATATCATAGACATGTTAAGTGTTTGTCTTTGCAGATTTGGGGTCTATATACATTGTATCAATCAATCAATCAATGAAATGGTGTTTTATTCATAAAAAACATGGACTTTGCAGCCAACGGCTGAATTATGTCCAGTTGTCCATCCAAATCTATTACACATTTATTTACATTTATTTACACAGGCATTAACACAAATATCACATCATTATTCACGACGTCTTTGACGTACTGTGTCTAAGACAAAAAGTGACTGTTCAATAGATGGATCATACACAGATAGATCATTGTAGGACAGCTATTCATGATTAGTTTGTATGCCCTTTTCATATAGAATTCCTTTGATATTAAATACAGTTCTTGTGGGGGTTGCATCACTTCGTTACGAAGTCTGCGTGCGCCGAGCAGAGCTGCCCTTACACGGGACGCGTTAGTCTCTAACGGGGGAAACATCAATTTCACACTGAAGGGTCAGAACTCCTGCGACAACGATGGAACCGCTATCCCTCATTCTCCCCGTCTCTCATCCCCCACTGAGCAGTAAGGCCTGGGGAAAAAATGTTGTGTTTCCTGACAAACCCTAGAAAATACCGCCGACCCTATCCCTTTTTTTTGGGGTGGACCCTTGCAACGGACACAAATTTTTTTAGCTGATCAACCTTTTCTAGCTCCATGATATGACACCTCAGTGATGAAACATTGTACAATTGGTTTTCCAACATTGACATTGAAACTAAGTGTCCTCAACATTAAAATTAAGTGTCCTCATGCAAGTTTTACTTGTTAAACTGATGTAATTGTATTAGTTGGATCACTATGTAGATATTGCCAAAGTCTAAAAGACAAGAAAGAAGAAAAAACATTATATATAATCCGTCCCTACCGGCCCTAATTTTTTCAGGACTGAAACAGGAAACAACGTTTTTTTCCTAGGTCCTACTGATTGATCTGACCCTTGCAGGGGTCCTCACGAAAAAGTCTACGGTCACCAGTTTTTTTCTAGGGTTTGTCAGTCAACAGGAAACACAACATTTTTCCCTAGGCCCAGTAGCTGGTGTGAGCAATGTGCAGACCTGAGCATAAATCCGGGTAATAAAATTTTCCGGCGCTGCGAGCCGTTCTTCTGGTACATAAATCGCTGGAAAGTTATCAAAGGAGGACAAAGCACCACCGTCCCAGGATAGTGCCAGGGTGGCACAGTGGAGCTCAAATAGTAGAAAGCGGGTACATAAATTTTCCTCTTCAGAGACTGTAGCGCTGCACTTCTGGGCCAAAGTTTCTTTTAATTCTATTTTTATTTTGCAAACTATGGCTCTTTGAATAAACTGGTTATTAATAGTATCAGTAGTTGTAGAGTTCAAGCTTTGTTCCAGCACAAGAAAGGAACTCACCATAAATTTGATATGGTTAAATCTGAATATGGTTATTATCAAGTTTCTCTTTTGCCCAGGTTACAATATATTCCTGGCTTATTTAGAATGTGCAAGACTTTGTTTAATGACAAGTATTATACCAATAATTTTGATTGAATACAAAATAGCAGAGGGAGCGAAAAATCAATGTACTAACAAAATTTAGCTGTGAGGAAGGGAAAAATCAATTAAAAACTATCGTGTCCTCCTTATATGTAATCTGAAAATTTCTCTTAGATATGCTATGAAAAAACATTGAGCTGAGATAACTTGATTAATGGGTCAGAAGATGGAAGCATTGTTTTTGATATGTCTGTTTGCATATTTACTTTTGTTTCTGTAGTTACTTTAATAAGGTTAAATGAAATCTAGAACTGCTGAACCAAAGTAATTCTCCAAATCAGCACCAAGGACAGGTGTCATGGTTTTGGTGAGGTTAGGCAATGATACTTCACAGAGACATCTTTGACTTCTTGTCTTCTATTTCAACTGTCAAAAATTTACAACAAAAAAAATTGTACTTCAAAGAGGTATGATGTCTCTGACTAGTTGTTTTCTATTTGTTTAGGGATATGAGTTCTCTGACTTGTTATTTTGTGTTTTTCTAGGGAGCCAGTTTCTGTGTAGTGTGCTGATAGCTCCGGTGACTCTGACTTGTTGTTCTGTATCTATTCAGGGAGCCAGTTTCTGTGTAGTGTGCTGATATCTCTGACCTGTTGTTTTGTGTTTTTTAGGGAGCCAGTTTCTGTGTAGTGTGCTGATATCTCTGACCTGTTGTTTTGTGTTTTTTAGGGAGCCAGTTTCTGTGTAGTGTGCTGATAGCTCCGGTGAAGAATGAGAATGGTGACGTGGTCATGTACATCATCAACTATGAGGACATCACAGATGCACCCTTCCATAGCGACATGGGGCCGCCAGCCAATCACAGGACACCTTTTGGAGCATGTAAGCCAATCATTCTCTTCTTACATACATGTAGCTTTCAAATATGTGGGGCTGCCAGCCAATCACAGGACACCTTTTATTTGGATCTTGTTAGAGAATGATTCTCTTCTTACATGGGACAACAAAACAGATGATCATGATGATCATGATATTAAGTTTTCAAGCTGTTGCAACAAAAATCTTCATACATTACTGTAATAATATTTATGAAAGTCCAGTCAACCACTCTCCACAAAATAGAAGAAAAGATGGAATATAAAAAATGGCAATTGCTGAAATTTGCTAGACACCTATGATACATGTAGGTATTATAGTGCTTTGGTATTTCATGCTTATTTTCTTAAGGCTGTGTAGAAGCAGCTTTAAACGGCTATCAGGTTAGTAAGACTGGGGACAATCCATTCATGAGGCTAGTAAAGTAGCTTATCAACAAGCTAGCACAGTCAACATGCATGTACATGTAATATGGCTGGAACTATGGGGAAAACTGCTTAGTTAGTAATAGTTGCCATCGTTTCAATCAGCATTGCGTCAACAGACTGGATATGCCATGCAAAATAAATCAAGCAACTGGATAGAGTCAGACGTTTCTAGATAGTGTAACACACTATATTTCATCAATAAATGATGAGAATGAGTTCAAAGACAGTCTGTACTATCAGAGTGGATACGTCATGTAAAATGAATCATTGAAGTAACTGGATAGGTTCTCAGAAGAGTCAGACATTTCAGGCAGCATCCACTATTTTTCATCAGTGGCTGAGAATGAGTCTGAAAACAAGTGCAACCTGCATTTGAATTGATTACCAGTGAAAGTTGCACCAGATGTTTGAAATACCAATAATTGTATCAAATTAAAACATACAAAAGGTAAACTTATTTACAAACAAATTAGGCTTAACTTGGATGTTAAAACAGTTGTTACATGTACGTCAGACTTAAACTATGAGTGTTCGAATGAACCACTTTTTCTTCAATGTTTCAATCTCTCTCAAGCTTTATAACACCTTGCTGACAAACCTGTAGTTGTGTTGGTTTGGCCAGTGATGATGAGTGGTTGTTCTTGTGCACATCATCTATCACATCTGCTGTTAGTTTCCCAAACACAGTTAAAAACAAAAAGTGTTAGTTAGCATCTCTCTTGAGCTTTAGAACTTGTTAACATTTTGCTGAGAAACCCGTAGTTGAGTTGTTTTGGCCTGATGATGAGTGGTTGTCCTTGTGCACATCATCTATCACATCTGCTGTCAGTTTTCCAAACGCATTAAAAAACAAAAAGTGGCCAGTGTTTCTCAGTGTTAGGTGGCATCTCTCTTGAGCATTAAAACATGTTAACATTTTGCTGAGAAACCCGTAGTTGTGTTGTTTTGGCCTGATGATGAGTGGTTGTCCTTGTGCCCATCATCTATCACATCTGCCGTCAGTTTTCCAATCTCTGGTGGCCTTGGTGCCGGCTGTGTCGTGACTCGGCTGTGATGCAGAATTACGGCGTGACGGCAGAATTCATCTCCATGTAATACCTGAAATCACACCTTATAGCCAGACCTTCCAGCCTCAGACAGTTTCATAGTTCAGCAACAAGTATGTTGGCAGGACATACTGTGCCTGAGTGAAACCTGTAATGTATTGTGCATGGCACTTTGGCAGAATGCATTTTATATAATGGCAACATCCCATTTACAGTTTTCAGATACTGTGTCATAAATTTTAAAGATATTGTCTGATATCAGACAATATCTTTCAAGTAAGAAAATAGATGTAAGTGCCTTTCCCAAGGGTAAAAACTGTAGCCTGTTGGGATTCAAGACCAGAACATTCAGATTCTTCTTGATAAGTTGAGATGAAGTCATCTAGTTATAAACTTAATTTAAAAGAATATTATAACTTGTCTGTGTATGTCTAGAAAAGTCCAACAGAAGAAAAAAAAATCAAATCTGTGTTGTATAATTTTTGAATTAGATTTGCTATTTCCTGAATGTCAAGGTCACTCAAGGTCATCTTGTAACCTTCAGTTCTAAACTTTATGGCCTGACCTTTAAAACAGATGAGATTTTGCCCAGCATACCTGCACTGGGTAATACCCACCAGGTCTAAGTGAACAGAGTGACAGATTGCATGGTTGAGAAAAAATGGAGATTTACGCTCCGGATTGCTGCAGTGTTTTATTGGGAAGGGCGTTGTGTGAACGACTTTGTGAGTGGGGTTGACATCGGTTTGGTTGATGCATGCATTCTGAGAAAGGAATTGGCAGAGCAGGCCATTATTTCATGCATAAAGACACACATGGAGAGGCATGGATTAAGCTGGCCTAAAAGCAGGTGCAACATATTTTCAAGGCCGGAGAAGCAAAATTTAAGTACACAATCTTTTCTTTTTTAATCTTCAAGTACTATTTTTAAGTACTTTTTTAATCTTCAAGTACTATCACATTACAGTGTACATGTAGATGAAAGTTAGACATCCAGGTAATGAGGTGCAAAGAAAAACTGTTATTCAAGCAACTGGATATAGTTTTAAAATTCAAGGGGCAAGATTTTTAAATTTCCCAGGGGAGCAGCCCCCCCCCCCCAACCTGCAATGATTGTTGTATTTGTTGCTTGACATGATGTCAAACAAAATTGAGATGACAGAAAAAAACTCAGGCTGGCTAGAACTCTGATGTGACCCACAGAACAGACTTGCTCACAGTGGCCTTAAAGGCCTCAGATAAAAATGTTGAGTTTCCTGTTTCCCGACTGTCCCTAGAAAAAAAGAATGCAGACCCTATGCAGCAAGTTTAAACAGTTTAAACTTGCTGCATAATGACTTCAACCAACACAGATGAACTTTCAAGATAATGCAGACCCTAGCCTTTTTTGTGTGTGGACTCCTGCAAGGGAGATTATTTTGAGCTGACCAACCTTTTCTAGCTGACAACTGAGTGATGAAACATTGTATAATAGGTTTCCCAACATTGACATTGAAAATTTAAGTGCCCTCCTGCAAGTTTTACTCTGTTAAACTGTATTGTATAAGCTGGATCACAAGTTGGATCACTAGAGATTGCCAAAGTCTAATAAAAAAAGAAAAAAAAGATAATCCCTACCTACTGATCATAATTTTTTCAGGACTGAAACACAACATTTTTTCCCTAGGCTTCGTGTGATCCATCGAGTTTTCTTGCTGTGGCCTAACTAGATGTAGGCAGCTGAGAGTAGTCCGGGAGCGCGCGCCCGACGCCCTAATTTGTCTGGCCGGGTTCCAACGCGCCCATTTTCGGTATTGTTTTCCACTGACAGCTCTGCTGGCAGGTGTCCCAAATTTCCTCGGAAGACGCAGCTGTAAAATATGAAGCGATGTTGGAACGACTTATAGAGACGCATCTCATCTGTTTCTGGTACATCAATACACATTGTGATGTCTTTTATAGGCAAAAGAGGATGAGCTTTTGCTGTTTATGATAGACAGTACATCATAACTAGTACTAGTGTTACAGTAAAACTAATGGAAACCTACATAATGTACTAAATTGTGTTTCAGGTTTGTAGGAATTCGATTTTATGGTGATTTTGCACACAGCAATATACATTGTACAAATTGCTATGTCCTTTTGGCAAAAGAAGATGAGCTTACTGGCTATGATAGACATAATTTTTTGTGCACTGGTTCTGTCAGTTGTGCAGTACTGCGCACCAGTCTTAGCCAACATGTCAGACTCCAACATGCGCAAACTGCAAGTAGTGCAGAATAGGGCATGTAGACTATTACTGAAATGTACTCCTGATACACCTACCAGGCAGATGCATCTAGATCTTGGTTGGCCGACTGTGAGAGAGAGATTCTTGAAAAGCACTTTGGTCATGTTCTTTAAGATCCTCATGAGTCACGAACCACAAAATATTTACAACTCCCTTTTGCCTGTTCATGCATCTCACAGTCATAATACCAGATCTTCCGCACATAACTTTAGATTACCAATACCTAAGTCCAACAGCAGAAAACGCTCATTCCTGTATCGTGCAGTCGTGCTCTGGAACGATCTACCATCTGACGTTAAGACACTGTGCGATGTTATCAGTTTTAAGAAAGCCGTTTCAAACAGTAGTAGTGTCACCTGATCCTTGACCCTTGCTCGCCACTTTTAAATTGTTTATATCTATGTGTATTTATTGTTGATGTGGTGTACATGTATGTATGTAATGTATTTTTAAATGTTTCCACTATGTTGTAATTGCTATAATGTTTGAGCCTTGGAAGATTAGCCCTTCGGGGCTAAAAGGTTTCGAAATAAATGAAAATGAAATGAAATAATGTAGACAGTTACTGTATAAAACGGATGGAAACTTACTGAAAATGTTGTTTTAGATTTATAGGAATTTGATTTTGTGGTGTTTTTGCACACAGCAATATACAAATTGCAATCTTATTTTGGCAAAAGAAGATGAGCTTGCTTGCAACGATCGAAAGTGTATGATCAAAATGTAGACAGAGTAAAACAAATAGGAACATGAATTAACAGAAAATTTTATTCTACTGCTTCAAGTTGTTAGGCATTTGAAGTAGTGTTTTTGTATGCACTGCAATGTCTTTTTGGGAAAACTGGATCTGATTGCTATCTATGATATATTGTAGGCAGTTATGATGTTGAATTTGAATCTTTGTTTTCATAAAGTTTAACATAAAAATAATTTGTGTGCTGCAGTCAGTGTATTTTTTCCCTTTCAGTTTTAATACAAAATTAAGAGGGTTTATGAAGATTTTAAAGAGACTCCTGTGAGATTTTGAAAGAACTGCACTTATAGAACTGAAGAAAAATGCATCTACAGCAGAAAATAAGCTCAATATTTTACACCTGATAGCAGCAAAAACGTCAATATCATCTCAGACAACAGTCCTTAGCAAGACCAAAGCTGACAATAAATCCATGAAGCTAATACAGTCCAGCAGGATTGTAACTTATTTCTTTCTGTGCAGATATCGACAGAATGTGCCAAGTTAAAGGTCGCCTGTGATGGTGCCAAATTTAGCATGACCTAATTGAATACAGTCTATTGCTTTGCAGCATTTGAATTAATGATAAAATTACCCAATTCACATTGATGCAATGATTTTCTGAAACAAATTTGTTCAAGATTTGATAAGTTGAACGCACAGTTAAATAGATTTTAAGATGTACTGACTTACAAATAGATTTTACTAGTTTAAGAATTGCTTAAAAAATTGGCAGAATATGTTTATAATAATTTTGCACTGTATCTGCAAATTTTCAATGCAAACCTTCTTCTTGAAACATACCAGTATGAGCTGATAGGGTGTGGCAAATGTGAAACGAATGCTGAGAAGCCAGCTGTTGACATCATTTTGTGGTAATGATAATTATTCTTAGTAGACCATAACTTAAGAATAGTATGACTTTTATTTAACACTAATGGGTGTCCTAATAAATAAATAAACAAACAAGCAAGCAAGCAAACAAACAAGCAACCAGATGGGATTCAAACCCCTCACCCTAAGGTTCAGAGACCGCGTTGCTCCGCCCGCTTTATCGTGTCTTCTGAAGAGCTTCTGAATCATTGAGATCGATCCTCCTGTGGCAGCCGCATACATCAAGTGATTTAGATGTTGCCAATCGAGCCTGGATGTAATTGTTAGGTGCTAAAGACTGTCTCCTGCGACTCTGATCAAATCAGGCTCATTTAAGTCTGAGTCTCTTAAAGAGATACTGATGAAGCGAAGGTGGGGCAGGGTTGGGGTTTTTGTTAACTCTGATCATGATGATTTATTTTATCTTATTTTATTTCATTTTCACAAGGATGTATGGGCATTGGAATAGCAAGCACATAATGTTGTTCACCAAAATAGCGCATAGAAAAATCGGAAATCAATTTGAAATATGACATCCACTTGCAATGCAACACTTTTATTCACAACACAGCTTAGTATGATGGTTTCTTTCACTGACCTGCAACTGGACTCAAGTGTGCTCAATCATTAAAAAAATGCCCTTTTCTTAGTGCAGTACTAACATCATCTGCCAGTCAATTTCACTTCAATCTACTTTAACTTGTTGTACAAGAATCTGTAATGTCAAGGATGTATTGGAACACTGGAGACCTAATTAACTACAAACAGGACAGTGTATCAATCTCTTCCCTCCTGGAGAGCTGTACATGTCTTCATCTGTAGCCGGAGGATTCTTCTTCATTTACTGATGTTATTTTTAGTCTAGATGATACAAGATTGCTTTCGGGGTCGAAGTAATTACCCGAATATGTTAAATCCACTGGGGAAGGCTGTCTCATCAGCCTTTATATGGTACATGTGCAGGGTTGTGGCTTAATAAGCAGATTCATGGCTTGCATGGCATGGTGCACTGTGGGTAATACTTCAAAGTTTAAGACCATCTCTGTGAAAATGCTTCCCTCGGTGATTTAAAGTTTTCCGAGTGCTGAAAAATTTCCATAGTGTAAAAAAGTTTTGCTAGTGCAGAAAAGGTTCCACAGCAATGGAAAGTTTTGCCAATGCTGAAAAAAGTTTTTTAAGTGCTAAAATCCTCTCCTTGATGCAGAAACGTTTTCCTTGGTGTAGAAATAGTTTACTTCGCACTGAAATGCTTTCCTTGGAACTGAAATAATTTTCTCGGAAATGAAATGCATTCCCTGGCACTGACATGCTTTCCTTAGAACAGAAGTACTTTCCTTGGTACTGAAATGCTTTCCTTGGTACTGAAATGACTCTCTTTGGCTGAAAGAATCCATACTTCCTAAATTTGGAGTGGTGCAGAGCTAAAATTTGTCTGGCACAGGTAATTTTCACTTGATATGTCGGTGAAGGTTAGACATCCAGGCAATAAGATATGCCAAATAGCAGTTACTCTAGCAACTGGATATTTCTGGAAACAATCTTCAGATGCACCAGTGCAGGTATGCAGAAAAAAGAATTTCAAGCCCAGAGTATGTTTGGAAACAGTAATCTGCACATACAAGCCTGGAAGGTCAAGGAATGAGAAAGTAGAAGGATGACTGAGTATAATAGAAAGGAGTGTATTTCCCTTGATGATAAACTACCAACCATTACTCTAACATGCCTGCAGTATAGTCAGGGATGCAGGATAATGCACACATGTAGTATTGCATTATATACCCTTGTTGATAATATTTCATTTCAGGTAATACCCATGTGCAGTTTCATCAATATAGATAAAAGTCATAGTTGGGTTCAACTTTGCATCTCTTATCTCTGTGAAAGATTTAGATCCTTTTTGTGAAATTCTTGTTTTCTTATGATGAATTTGTTGCAGATTGTGCCTAATAAATTACAACACAAACTGCCATAAGGCAACTTTTTGATTCTCACCTCTCCAGAGTACTTGGGTACTATTTTCAATGTGTCTTGCTCCTTATTATTACTCAATGATTTTAATGGTCAATCTTTAAGTGCTGGAATGAATAAAATTACAAAAAGGTGTTGCTTGATACATAAAAATCAAAGCTCAAAGGAAGAACAAATTGAAATTGTAAACTGAGAAAACAAGTTTTCTGAACCCTGCCTAACAGATTCTTTGTCTCAAATTTTCCACAGTGAGTCCTGCAAAGCTGTCTGCACTGAGGAGGGACAAGAGGAAAGACAACATCCAGAACAAACTGTAAACTGAGAAAAAAATTTTTTAACCCTGTCTGACGAATCTTTTAAAAAATTTTCCCCAGTGAGTCCTGCAAAGTTTCGTTTGAAGCTGTCAGCCCTGAGGAGGGACAAGAGGAAAGATGACATCGAGAACCAACCGTTCGACGACCCCTTCCCACAATTCCCTCTGAGGCCGCTTCACCCTCCAAACGTCCTCTCCGTAAGGGACGAGCATCACGCTGCCACCCCTCCCACTCAGAGGTAAGGGTCTGCATGGGGGGATCCCAGAAATTCTTCGGTTAATTTATAAAATAGGAGGGCTGACAACGCTCAATGGTAAATTAGGTTGGGGAGCACTATGCTGCAAACCCTGCAAATCAGAGGTAAGGGCAGGAAGGAGGGTCTGCATGGGGGATCCCAACAACCCTTAACAGTAGATTCAGCCAGGCAGGTAATACAGTACCATGCTGTGACCCCTCCAACTCAGAAGATACCACGACTATATAATAATCACGTCTCTGTTTCAGGTCATATTCACGTATCTAAGGGTGACACCCTGTCTATAGTTTCCAAGTCTTGTGTCGGAAAAAATATCGCCTGAAAACTGTCCGAGATTTCCAGCCTGAAATTTTATATATCTTCATTGTTTTGCAGTTATGTTAAACTTTATATTTATGTCTTACATCTAAGGTAAATGAGCCTCCCTTTACTTTGATATTTGCTTTCCTTAGTCCCTCCCCGTGTCGTGAAGTGTTGTTCAGTGAGTGCCGTTTGCACCTGGTTTCACCCTCAGTAAGTTTGGAACAGAATTTTTATGTTGCTTTTCACTGCTTTTGTTTTCTGTTGCTTTGCTATTAACCCTTTTGATTTCACATTAGTTTTGTTTTATCCAATAGCTTTGTAGTGTGTTACAATGTAGCTGTGTATTCCTGAATCACAATTATACATTATGTATTAGAATGAAACTCCCATTCTGGAAATCATATTTTATATTGGGTGGCTGTCTGGACATGCCACCAATCTTGTGCCCTTGTCACTAACATGAATTCCTCTCTTAACTCAGGTGAAAATGAGTATTGCCTATTGTTCTTTGCATTGGTGGTGACATAGAAATAAGCTGAAAAACTTGACTGTGCCTTCACCACAAAACCCTTAATGTATTGTGTCTTGTCACTGGGAATAAAAATAACTTTCCTTGTCCTTCTCCACAAGGCTGTTGCCGATCCAAAAGGAGGTGGACCAGCAGTCGTTATCGAACGTGAGCCAGCTGTCGTCGCGGGGAAGCATCTCCCGCAGCCACGGCTCAATACGACGGGCATCGTCACTGGAGTGCCTTGACCGAGATCAGAAGAGGGACTCAAAAGATTCCGAAGGTAGGAGGAGAACGTACTGCTCGATCGTCTTAAAGGCATACTCTATAGCAGGACGTGTTACTTAGCACCTTGTGCCTCCAGTTAAGAGAGTGCCATTGAAACTGTAAAGAAATTGATGGTGTATCATAAAGGGTACCTCAACCAAGATCAGAGGAGGGACTCAAAAGATTCCGAAGGTAGGAAGAGAACTTCAGAATCTGTACTGTGGCCGTCAATGGCTGAATTGTCCCATTCATGATGGACAAAATTTTGGCGCGATCTGTCCTCTTTGAGAGACAAAATTGGTGTGTAAAGATATGAAAAGTTAAACTAAAATTGTTTGAAAAAAATCATGTTTGCATAGTTTTAACTATGAGCAAAAATGTTGTTTTAATGTCACTGTAGAAAAATATTTTTGAAGAAAATTTGTTAGTACATCAGAATTGGTGCCTCTAGAGGATACTATTATATAGCTGTGTGGCCCAAGGGCCATACCAATGGTGATGGGCACTACCCTTTACATATGCTTCACATGGTGTGGGAAGCACTGCAAGTAATCCTTACATAGACACCCCTTCCAGACACTTTTTACCCCGATGCCTCCTGGCCACACACTAGCTGAAACACCCTCCTCCAAGGATGCCCGTAGCCAGCATTTTGAAGTGGGGGGGGGGGGCTCTTCCCACTGTCTGAGGAACCAAAAATTTTGAAAATCAAACATTCTGAAATGGCATTTCTTGCAGTTTTGTGAGGATTTTAAAGGAAAAGTCAGACATAACTTTGTATTTAATGACAAAGTGAGCGGTTTTTCTACGATTCTAGCCCCGCTGGAGATACAAATCAGTCCATCTTTTGTCTTTTAAAGAAGAACCTTGGACCTAGATAAAATGTGTTCCTTTCTGCCTTCTTCCAAACCCCCCTGGCTACGGGCATGCCAAACCCCCTTCTGTTAGTCCCTTGCAGCAGTTGACTATACGACAGGATACTGCCTACTGCACACTTCCCCCTCCTCTCTCCACTGTCTCTCCTTGCTTTAGGTCCCTGGCAACCATCTCAAACCACCTATTCCCAACTCTACGTCAGATTCCGACATCGCCAAGAACAAGGTGAAGTCAGCCACCAGTCTGGTGAACCTGACGGAGAACTTGGTGATCCGAGAGGAGGCTGGTCCTCCCAGTAAAGCCGAGCGTTTCCTGGGGATCGGGAGTGCCGCGGTCACAAGGAAACCAGGAGTTACAAAAAAAGTCACACAGGTTAGTACCATGTACAATGTAGTCTGTTTGACAACACGAAACTAGTGCCCTGCATGTGGGGGTTATCATAATCATGGCTGTCACCGATACAAAAGGAAAATGAGTATTGTCCATTGTCCTCTATTGCCTATTGTCCTTTATAGTCCTGTTCAGCATTTGCCTGAACTGTAGCTGTTCTTGCTGCATCATTATAGATTCTATTACACTTTGTAAAAATCATTCATTCCTCAGTCACTGTATTTTCATAGATTATGTACTACTAACCAGTTATTTTTACTGCAACAGTGGTGACAAAAAATACTTCTGAATCTGTTATGCTTTGATCAGAGATTCTTTGGGCAGAAGTGATGATTCGTGTGATTATTTGTTTGATGTTGCTGACCAATGAAAACAAACCAAAGTTGAAGTAGTTGACCAATCAGCTTACAAAGATTTTCTGGGCTTTCTCAATCACATTTTTCAGACATAACTAAAAGGTACATACAGTATGTCCTGCTGTCATGTTTTAATCTTATGTGCCATAACTCTATCAGTCATGCATATGTCTTCTTCAAACCTCCCATTTCAAATTCCACAACAATTTGATTATGTTAAGTAATCTCTATGAATTTGGCATACTCACAGTTCTGATTTTGAACTTGCATTGGATTTGAGTTTTAACATAATATTGTGTTGGGCTATTCTAACTTCTCTCATATTCTCCATTCTAATTATAATATAGTCCTCTGGGTTTGAACTACATTTAGTACGAATTTTGATTTCTAATCTTTGTATGCAATCATGTGCATATACTGAATATTACCATCTAACAATTTGGCATACTCACAGCTCTGATTTTGAACTTGCATTGAATATATTTGAGTTCTAACATAATTGTGTTGAACTATTCCAACTTATGTCATTTTAATACTCCTCTGGGTTTGAACTACATTTGATACATATTTTGATTTCTAATCTTTGTATACAATCATGTACATATTCATAACATTACCATTTAATACTTTGGCATACTCACAGCTCTGATTTTGAACTTGCATTGAATATATTTGAGTTCTAACAGAATTGTGTTTTACTATTCTAACTTATCTCATGTTAATACTCTTCTGGGTTTGAACTACATTAAGTACAAATTTTGATTTCTAATCTTTGTATACAATCATGTAACTACATATTTATTCAGAATATGATCATCTAACTTACACCTCTCCTGTCCTGTATTATTGCATCCTCACTCTTGTGTTCCTCTTACACCGCACCTCTAGTGGACAATGGGGAACATAATGGTCAGTGTTCAGTGTACGTTAGTGTCAGTGTCGTTCCACAATCAGATGTATCATTGGTTGTCATCCCTAGCATCCTCCTTTGTGTTTGTACATCGTCCAATCAAAAGTGCTGTTACATTTTGACCAAAACAGAAGACTTAGCAACTGAGAAAACCTATGGAAGGCAACTTTATGACAATGGATAATTGTTCATGAGAATTTCTTCAGCAGAAAAGGTTGTCAACTTGGCAAAACCTGGCAATGTTTTCTTTTGAAAACATTTCTGTTTTAGTCATAAGCAGAAAAACTGCTGTATAACCTCAAGACTTAGCTTTAAACAAATCTTGCAAAGTCTCTTGAAATTTGCACCATATACCGTGAAAACTTAGTAATCTGTTTTACTGATTGTCAGAAAATTCTTTCCAAGACATGCCAGTGTTAAAAGAAATGGCGGCACAAAACTAGTAACTACAAGCATTTTTCTGTTAAAGAAGAAATGAAACATTATGATTTGAACAACTTGAAAACTCTGAGACAAAACGTGTACAATCATGTAGTTCCTCCATCCACTTTCTTGTCCTATCAGCAGACCATTACATAATCATAGGCAACGTCATACAAACCCTGTCTGTATTAGAAACCTACATGTAGCTCAGTGTCCCCAAAATTATCATAATCATAATTGTTTTTCATCAACATCTAGATAGGTTTTAACCTGAAAGTAGATTTAATACGTAGGTAGCGACAATGCTTTAATAACAGATAGTAGCCACAGCCTTTAGATAGGGTTTAGTGTTAAATAAAAATTAGATGTTTAGTTTGACAGTATTCAAGAAGACTTGAGCAAATGGAACAATGAAGATATTCTTTATAATCCTTTGTAGATGCCACCTTCCTCAGGACAACAGGTACCAAGTCACTTCATATGCATCTTGTAGAGAGTGAAAAAGGAGGAGAGTAGAAAAGGCTGGGGTAGTGAGCTTAGATCATCTAGGTCTGCTGTGGCAAATCTTAGTGTCGATTGCTCAGCAAGTGTCTGTTTTGATGTTTTTCTTACTGCCAGGTTGCATTGGGTTCAGGAAGACAGAGTACACTGTTGTTTTTGTTGAAATTTTCCCTATTAAGTCCTGCTTTACGTACATGAAATATTGAAATTTAGTGCCAGTCTTCTTCGGCCTTCACTTTTTCAGAATGATTCTACTGCGATTGTTGCATTGAAGAATCTTCTCTATTCTTATGAAGTTTTCAAGACAATTTCTTCCCCTTTATATAAAATACATCTTTGAAAATAAAGTAAGAGAACTTCATGGGAATGCTCTGTCAACCTGAACCCTTGTCTATTTTGAGAAACTTGTTCCAAGCAGGAAAATCTGCTGGTTCTTTAAACCTAGAAAAAAAATACAGGCCGTTGTTAAACTCAGGGCAACAGATGACAAGAAAAATCATAATTGAAATGGAAACAAGAAAAAAGAAACACACAACGCGTTCTCCATCTGTCCATCACTTTATTCCCTCCTCATATATATACTACCATGCCATATTCCTTCATCATTTTGGTGTGTTTCCTCGCACAAGTGGAAAGGCTACCTGCGCACTAACCTGACGTCCACAAACAACCTACCCTCGCAGTGGACTGCATGGATGGTCGTGCTGGTTTTTGTGAGCGGTGGTGAAGTGTTGTGACGGTGACGTCTTGGAAAAAAAACGCAGTGAAATTTTTTTTTTTCGAGGACCAAATTAACCCTTTTCTGCTAACCCGCACCATTTTTATTTGACACGGATGAACATATTTAACCCCTGTTGCTGACGACTGACGGCTTGCATTTTGTCCTACCACCCCCCTCCTTGTTTGACATGCTACAAAGATGATGGCATTTTCCGGTGTTTCATGTCTTGCAGGTGTTATCCCTCGGAGCAGATGTTTTACCGGAGTACAAGCTTCAGTCTCCCCGCATCCACCGCTGGACAATCTTACATTACAGCCCTTTCAAGGCAGTGTGGGACTGGATCATCCTACTCCTCGTGATCTACACTGCCGTCTTCACTCCGTACGTCGCCGCCTTTCTCCTCAACGAGGACGAAGCGCGGGCGAAGATGAACCGCGATCCGGATACGCGGAGGGACTATGGTCCATCAAACCGTTACGGGGACCCCTTGGTTATTGTGGACCTCATAGTGGACGTGATGTTCATTATAGACATCCTTATAAATTTCCGGACCACATATGTTAATAAGAATGACGAGGTGGTGAGCCACCCGGGCAAGATTGCGGTGCATTACTTCAAAGGATGGTTCCTTATAGACGTGGTGGCAGCCATTCCTTTCGACTTGCTGCTGTTCGGTTCTGAAACAGATGAGGTAAGACACAAGCTTTCTCAGAACTGTCTATAGTATGTTTTGAAGTACAGAATCTTGTTTGCCATACTAATAGGCTCTATCCATGGTGCTGAAAATATAGCAACACTTGAACTGAAAAACCCGAGTTTTGCACAGATGCAGTACATTCAGTCAACGTGCTACATGACATTATACTGTGCTCTAATGCTTTCTTCTTTTATTTCAGAATACTTTGTTACTGTAGAATGGTTTATTCATTTTATTATGACATTAACTATATCACAACATTCGCAGCCCGATTTGATGAAGCGATATTACAGAAATTGACTGCAAAATATTAAAAAACATTTTCTACACAAGTTAAAATCAATAGCAAAAGATTTACGGTCAGCATAATCATTCACATATACACAACCATTCTGTTACTGTACAGCAAACAACAATCCAAACCATGACTTGTTCCCTTTTTGACTTCCAAAAATTTACTTTATTTGCATATCAATCAATAGTTTGTGCCTATAAACCTGCATTTCCCCTCTGGTCTCTCAGTCACTGATGAAAGGTAGTGGATACCAGCTGAAACGTCTGACGTTTTCAAAATTATATCCAGTTGCTTGTCAAATGAGTAACTGTTTTTTGGCATATCGTATTACCTGGATGTCTAACCTTCATCGACGCATGACTTGCATACTCAGAACATGGACCAGTGCAGGAAGCTCCAATTCTAACCTGTATATGCAGGTGGTATTTCAAGCCCTGTCTAACGCTTCCTTCTCCCGTTGCAGACGACGACTCTGATAGGCCTGCTGAAAACGGCGCGCCTCCTGCGCCTGGTCCGAGTGGCGCGGAAAATCGACCGGTACTCGGAGTACGGCGCAGCGGTGCTGCTGCTCCTCATGGCCACCTTTGCCTTGATCGCCCACTGGCTGGCCTGCATCTGGTAGTAGTAGTAGACTGGTTCATTTCATATCTGTCACAGTGATACAAGCATGGGATATAGGGGTTTCCTTCTACACAACCAAATATTCATACCTTGCTGATGTTTCGATGTCTATCAGACACATTCCTCAGAGCTTCTGACTGGAGTTCTGCTTCTCGCTGCTATATGTAGCCAATATAGGTGGCGCTTTTATACTTAATATATCTATAACATACTTGGTAGGAAGCTGTATGTTACTAGTATATAAAAGAGCTACTAGCTTACTACTATTTTACCTAATTTTAATGGTATCTGTTAAATATGTATTGTCATCTGCTCATCATCTTGTAAACTTTTAGACCGACGTCAACTTCAGCTCACTAGCTGCGAAGAGTTTTTGGAACGAATAATAAAGCATTCTATACTTACACTAGGTACGCAATAGGGAACGTGGAACGGCCCACGTTGCCTGCCAAGATCGGCTGGCTGGACATACTGGCAAAACAGACGCACCAGCCTTACACCAACGACAGTAACAGCGGGCCGTCGCTCAAGTCCAAATACATCACCGCGCTCTACTTCACCTTCAGCAGCCTCACCAGCGTGGGCTTCGGAAACGTGTCTCCCAACACAAATGCAGAGAAGGTCTTCTGTATCTGTATCATGCTTATTGGATGTAAGTGTAGCTTGTTAAGTACAAAATTTGGCTTGTTTAGTACATGGTATTGCAGAAAAGTGTACAAAACCTTAAGTATCATACATAACATGGGGTTCGGAAACGTGTCTCCCAACACAAATGCAGAGAAGGTCTTCTGTATCTGTATCGTGCTTATTGGATGTACGTTACAGAGCTTTAGTCTCCACTAGACTCCTTTGCAGGCTGAATAACTTAGTAGAATTTGGCCTAAAAGGTAATGTAACTGGCCAGGGGAATTAGCTGGCCATAGAGGGTCCTCCACTATTCATTCAGCCTGCAAAGGAATCTGGTGGAAACTAACAGAGCTCTTTGTTTGGCTTGTATAGTTTGCATTGTTACAAGAAATTGTGCAAAATCATATTACCTTTCTAGTATTACATTATATTTGACTTAGAAGTTGACTTTATTAAAATTTTTCACAGCGTTGATGTATGCCAGCATCTTTGGCAACGTATCAGCCATCATCCAAAGGCTCTACTCAGGGACAGCCAGGTATCACACCCAGATGCTCCGTGTGAAGGAGTTCATTCGCTTCCACCAGATCCCGAACCCTCTACGCCAGAGACTGGAGGAGTATTTCCAGCATGCCTGGTCATACACTAATGGGATAGACATGAATGCAGTAAGTATACATTCTGTTTTTAATAAATTCTTAATGAAAATTTGTAAATAAAGACTTATGCAAGTAAACAAGAGCAGCACACAAGATAACATTCTATTTGCATCTATTAGAGAGGAAGAGACAATAGAATTTCTGGCAAGAAGGAGAAGAAGAGACAACTAAGTTTAAATCAAGATTCTTAATCCAGAATTTTTATCATCTGACTTTGTCTCTATAGGCAGTGCTACATGATAAAGTGCCCTATATGTATGTTTGATATTTTGGCAATAGATGATATTGGTATTGGCAAAAGCATTTTAGAAGCTACTATTAATGCTTTTAATCATTAGTGCATTTTGCTAGTATGCAAGATTTTCCTGCTTTACAAATATGCAGTAATATTATATATCAGATGCTTGCTTTGCTATGCTTCATGAAGTGTCATAACTTCCTTTATGTTAAGCCATAACTGTCAGTACACAATTTTTTCTTGATTGTGTTGCTGTTTCAATGCACCTGAGCACATCTGTCATTGAAGCTGTACATGGCAACAGGTATCACACAGCTGCACATGCATGGCAACAGGTGCAATGCACTTCCAACAGTCTCTGCACCACTCTAAATGTAGATATACACGCGGTGGCCACTGAGTTGCTGTACTGCACAGCTCAACTTTATATGCCTGACATGTTAAAAAAAACGCTTTAGCCATCAGCTAGATTGACAAATAGATGCAGGTTTTGTGAGGGATAGCTTACAACTTTCTAACTTTAACTGAATGCAGAATTCAGTTACAGCAAATTGGCATTTGCCAACCTTGCTGAACACCAGCCAAGCACAGTCAACCTTGTTCCGGACCCACTCCTAACTACAATTTATGGTTGGGGGGGGGGGTAGTTTGGCAGTGTTAGTTAGGTCATATTCGACTATGTGTGACAGGGGTTTTAACCAGTGGCCCATATCAATGCTAAGGAAAGCTTTGGGATTTGTCACACAGTTAAAAGTTGTTAAAACCTAGTCACACATTGCAGTCTCCCAGCACGAGAGTTCAGGAGGTATTCCAGCAATCCGTGCATGGTGCTGGGGCCATGAGTTTGGATGACATGGATGCTGTGAGTAACCATAGCAACAGACCAGTCCACTGGAGAGATAGGGGTGATCTTTTTTTGTGGTGGAAGTCACGGGTGCTCTTAAATCTTCATGTCAGATCTAAAGCACAACATCAGTATCATGGGTGATATTTTTAGTCTCACTTTTCCACATTGAATGTTTCAGAAAATGCTCAGTTTATATACGTCTCTCTATCATTGATATCTTGCACTGGGGTGAATTATGGATTATGTTATTAACTTTGTACTACAGAACACTTTTTGGGTGTATTGGTGTATGATGTTAACCAACTACGCAAACAAATAACAGGTCAATGACCTGGACCAGACATCTGTCATCATGGTAACTGGTGCTGTAGCAGACTACTGGTGCTGGTGGTGTTTGATTACATTATGTAGCAAGTCGCAGGACGGAGTTGGAGGGGCTGGTCAACATATAATACAATGTATTCGAATGTGTTTCAATAAGAAAAACATAGCAGTAGTTTGCTAGGCTACACCATATGAAGGTAAACATTATGCATGCTTTGCAAATGTTTACCTTTCAAGTAAATTGATATTTCTACTTTCTAACTTTAAGTTAGTAATTTGATCTTTTTTTCCCTGCAGGTTTTGAAGGGATTTCCTGAGTGCCTGCAGGCGGACATTTGCTTACACCTCAACCGCAACCTGCTCCAGAACTCCCCAGCCTTCAAGCACGCCAGTCAGGGCTGTTTAAGGTGTGCAGCATGTTTTTCATCTCTCTTCATTTTTTTTAACGGAGTAGTTCAATGCAAGGCCTATGTGACCACTTCTCAGCATTGAACTAGAAATATGAGAGAAACATGGCTATGTCAAGAGATGGCAGTGAACGTTTGATTTGAAAGCCTGTAGATTGTAGGTTTGTGGGAAACACTTGTCAGGGAGGTAATTCCAAAGCTTGGCCCTATGGGGAAAGAAACTGTCACTGTAAAAAGATTTCGAAGAAGGAATTTTGTTCTGCCACGCTTCATACTAATTATGTTTACCCTCGCAGAAGGAAAACATATTGTTTTCAAATTAATTTGCTCTGTTTCTTTTCCCTCTTCTTCTTCCTCTTCTTCCCCAAACAAATAAGGTCAATGACCTGAACCAGATGTCTGTCACCATGGTAACTGGTGTTGCAATTTTATAGCAGGAGGGATTTGGACTCCTGTTTGATGATAGATATGAAATCAATGTGTTTGAGTAAGAATTGAGGGCAGACCATGTGTGAAGGAAAACATTATGCATTTTCTGAGATGTATGTTACTACTCTAACCAAAAAAGGTTAAATACAAATTTCAAACCTCCTTGCTCTGACTACTAAAGACTAGATTCTGACTTCAATAACTCTGACTCTGACTCAGGGCGTTGTCCATGAAGTTCAAGACCACGCACGCTCCCCCGGGCGACACGCTGGTGCACAAGGGGGACGTGCTGAAGGCCCTTTACTTCATCTCGAGGGGATCCATCGAGATACTCAAAGACGACGTGGTGGTAGCTATATTAGGTGAGTCCAAAAATAACTTCATCAGGTTGGTAGAACATCTACGCATGTACATTGTACAATGTATACTTGTTTTGTTAATTTGTGACACAGGGCCCCACTGCAAAGCAGTGCCAATCACTGAGCTACATGTAGGCAGCACTGGGACTGCAATGAAATAAGATAAAAAATTGAGTGAAAATGTTAAACTTTACTACAATTGGTATGGTCATTTATTGTACCTTCAATGTAGCTGACAACAGCATAACTCAACGGTTATGTCAGTATTGGTAGTTGGTACTGATGTATATTTGGCAGAATTCCCAGATTTTCCTGTTTAGCTAAGGTATATAAACCAACTGGAGGGTCTGTGCCAAGAGCAGATCAACCTGGTGAGACCTGTGCATGTCTGCAACTACCATGCATCAGTCCCTGATGCCTGCGAATGATTGATTGATTGTATATAGATCTAGCATTTTGTAAGGATGTGTTCCATAGCGGCAAAGAAAATGATTTAAAAGCAGCTAACTGAAAAATCCAGTATAGCAATTTAGAGTTGCATGTAATCCCTACCCAGACTCATCAGTAAGCTAACTGCCAGGCATTTGGCAAATGTACAATCCTGTCAGCCAATTCCATACCCCACTGGCACTCTGCTTCTTGTAACAAGATTTCAGTGATGTTGGTTGCGAGTGAGATACAGCCATATTGCCGTAAGCTAGACATGTAATCACTTGATCTTCCCTATCTCTGTGATAAGGTTAGACTATAATTACATTTAAATTTCTTCTTCGTGTCTGTTGGCTGAAATTGCTACACATGGAGACATGGTACCATGAACCTAAAATTAGCCTGCCTTCTGGTGTTTACATGTCCAAAAATACAATTAGGCGCCATAGGCTTGCTGTATGTATCTTAATCATACTTGGAAGGTGGAGCTCATCTCTCCCTCTCCTTCCACCGCCTTCTACGTCCCCAACCAAAGTCAGGATCCCATTTTACACCTGGACTGAGAGAGTTAAATCCTGCAAATTGAGTGCCCTCCCCAAGGGCACAACGTTGAGTCAGGAATGGATGCCGTGACCTCTTGGTCTTGTGTCCACTAGTCTTATACCACTTGGCCATTCAGTATTTAAGAGTGATCACATGTCAACTTAAGATATTTGTAACCAACGTATATCAAATCGTCCCTCGTATATCACATCATCCCTCGGTAAGACTGCATACATGTATTTCAGATCTGATTTAGAAATTCATTCAGCTTCCATAACAACCAGTTTCACTCAGTACCACTCATTTGTTGTAACGTTACTTCCAGGTAAGGACGATGTGTTTGGGGAAGACCCTCTGAAGAACGACATTATGGGGAAGTCTAACTGTGACGTCCGGGCGCTGACCTACTGTGACCTGCACAAGATCATCAGAGATGACATCCTGGAGGTACTGGACATGTACCCAGAGTTCACCGAGACTTTCATGAAGAACCTGGAGATCACATTCAACCTGAGGGATGTGAGTTTGTTTGTTTGTTTGTGCCTTTGAACTCAAGAATTACTCCATTAATTTTGGCCATTACAGCCGTTTTCATGGAAGTCCACTAAATAGCACCAATATTTAGTCAGGTTGAAGTTTATAAACTGGTGTGTGACCAAGTACCTGATACTAGCTAAGAAAAGAACAAGAATGCCTTCAAGTACTAGAGTTGTCAGCCATCAGATTGAGGTGTTCAAAACCCAAAAGATCCCTTTAGCTAGGTGGAAGTGTGTAAAGGATATTGAAAGACTTGACAATTCAAACTCTACTGCAGGATAGATTATAGACTGATATTCTTTACAGAAGTTGCAAGTTACATCATTTGTCTTCAGCTTGAGTGACAAACCTGTATTATTCCCCAGGAGGAGTCCAGCGCGATGTTGAATGACGAGGATGCGACTCCAGCCGAAGCCCCGCCGATGTCCAGCGGAGCCGCGCGACCCTTCATGAGGTTATCCCGGTACTCTCTCAGGAGGAGGTCGTCTGCTTCTGTCTCAAGTCGAGGAAAAGCTGACTTAAGTGAACCTGTGAAAGTCAAGCCCACCATGAGGCACGCCCAGGCACAGAGGACACAGAGTGGAGGAAGTCATTTCAGGTGAGTTCTAACCTCAAATTTCTAGGATTCAGGGCAAACACTCTATCCACGTGATACATCTCAATGAAGAAACAAAGTATGTCTCACTACCACACATTGCATGGCACAGTAGTAATGTTTTGATTTATTATCATTATAATAAAACCTGTCTCCCTGCCTCAGCCATGCCGGTTTGTTGAGTGATATACATGTAAGATCTCAGACGTAATAAACTTTGGGCTCCCTTGTTATGGTACAGTAGTAGAGTTATAATAAACAAGTCATATATCCCTGCCTTAGCCATGCCGGTTTGTCGAGTGACGAGGGGGACGGTGAGTCCGCGAGCGCCAGTCCCAGCCCCGGTCCCGGAACAGGTGCGGTCGAGATGTCGTCCTACGTCAGCGCTACCCAGGAACCTCAGTCTTCCTTCTTCACATTCGAGACTCACGAGCCCAGACAAGGTACGCACAGTCTTCCTGTTTTACCTTTGCCAAGAAGGTTACGTTTTCAGTATTGTTCGTGTTTGTGTCTATGAGTGTGTCTGTAAACAAGATAAATTGTGAAGGCCTAAATGAATTGCCTTGACATGTTATGCTCTGGCAGCTTGTTATGGTACTGGTTGATCTCATGATCTAGACATGCTAGGGTCACAAATTTTAGGTGGTAGAAAGCTTTTGTGCTCAGGAAGATGTGATGTGTATTTGGCCCCCTAGCAGCTAAATCTGGAACTGCAGATTCATTTCTTAAAAATATCTCTGATAATACCAACAAAATTCTCAAAATTTTTTCCTGTCTCATATCAACCTTTATCTTGAATGTAAAAATAGCAATTGCGAGTTTCAAACCTCTTTCTCTGTTGGTTCCCAGACCCGTCTACAGTGAGAAGGGACCAGGACCAGGAGAGTGCCGTGTCCACCCCCACCCAGAGGGGCCCTCCCCCTCCCCGGGGCCAGTTCCTCTCCCCCTCCCACCACAGGCGGACGCGGGACCTCGTCCCGTCGGACTCCAAAAGCCTCGGCCCGTCTGTCGTGGTGGAGGACTGCACGCGTTTCGTGGCAAACTCCGAGCTGCAACGACAAATCGCGAACCTGCAGCAGCAGCTGAACCGGCTGGAGAGTAAAGTGACCGTGGAGATGGCTCAGATTCTGGGCATGTTGAGACAGATGCAGGCCAGCGCCATGCCACCTGTATACTCGGGCGTCCCCACCCAGACTCAGCCTCCCCCCTACCCCAGGGGAAGGAGTCTTTCCCATCCTGTAGACGATCCGTTGTTCTTTCCAGCGGTAGACGCGGGGTTGCTAACAACGATTACCCGGGCGAGCCAGTCCTTGCCCAGCCTTCCCGAGCAAACCGCTGCCTCAGCCCCGTCCATGGTGGAACCCGAAGGCTCTGCACACTCAGGTGATGATGACAGGGGTGCCACAGCGCCCCCTGTGGCAGCAGTTGGTGCTGCAACTGCCAGGCACCTGGATACGGACGTGTGATAGCTTACCACAAAGTGAATTCTGGGAGTGACCTGCATCTCTGTGAGCGACCTTCGTAGAAAGCTCACAGGGATTTTCTGCATCTGTGTTGGGAACTGATCATTCTAGAAATGCACCGGGTATTAAAAAGGTTTAACGACAAGTGAAAAATTGTTTTTGTGGAACTGAACACTACAAGAGTTCTTGGGTTGTTCGTCAGGATTAATGTGCTGTTGTGATGGTACCAAATACCTGTAACAGGAACTACTGTTTCTTCTCAAATGGAGCACCTGGTAACGATGACTGTGAAAGGAAATACGACCTGCGTGTAATACGACACCAAATCTTATCAACATATGTGACTTCTCGGATAACATGACAAGTGCAGCGACATCGGACGGGATTCTGATGTTGGATTTTTCCCCAACTTATTTTTCGAGCTGCGTCGATCACCACCCTCCAGTTCAAACAACTACCAATAAGTGCAGCAAAGAGGGTGTCTTAATAAGTTAATGTACACTTGCGATTCAAGAGATCATAGAACTGCGTAGATGTAGTTCTTCTAGAAGTGGCTGGAGTGGGAAACGAACCCATGGGCCCAACAGCTGCGAGAGGAAAACCAAAAAAAAAAAAAGATGCGACCTACATCTGTCAGAGAGATAACGCACACCTGTGGGAGAGCGTGCAGAATTTCATGCCCTTAATATGAATTTTACGAGTCTCCTGCTTTTCTGTAGAAATCAGTTGGGATTGGAGACTGCTGGAAAGTTGCCTGCCCAGACAAACGTCGAGAAGTTATGATTATCATCATAGATGCCTGCTGAGGAATTTGTTTCTCATATCTGAGGCAAAAAGCAATTATTGTAAGGACTCAGACTTTGCCAGGCTTTATAAAGAGAGTTCTGCAGCATGTAAAGTTACCTTAAATTTCAAAAAGCAATGCAAGTTCTTAGTTTTATTTTAATTACTAGATTTGGCTGTAGTAAATGCAATGTTCTCTTCAGACTACAAAGGAAAAAGTGGAAGAGTCAGGCTAAGGTTATTACGTGAAAGAAACGTTCAGAATTCATAAAAATTTGGAAGAGTCGTCCCTCAAATTCAATGAATCATATTTTTTTTACTTGTGGTTGTACACAAGTTTGATAATCCTACAGTAACAAAATTTACATGAAAATGTTGTGGTGTTGTGAGACTAGAAATTCGATAATAGGTGAGCCCTGACAACTGTACTATAATACCTCAAGTTTTTCAGCTTGCACAAATTTTACGTCAAAGTGGAAAAAATCAACTTCCTCTGGATCAAATTTCCACTGGGGGAAATCTGATGATGTATGAAGAATGAACAGCAGTTGTCTCATTATTCCATTTAAAATAACATGGTTATTATATAAAAGGTTGGCAATATATGTAGTACAATATAGAGGGAGAGACTCTATTCATTTTAAAGGATGAAACTCAAATCATGATGATGGTATGTTCCATGATACACAACCCCTTATACATGTACAATTAGTCAGCCCCTACTGTACCTTGTTCCAAGTACCACTGCATAAGGCGGAATGTCTATCACGGAAATTATGATCTTATAATTTCTTTGAGAACCAAACATATAAGAGACTTCAAAAACAACAACAAAAAAATGATGATCTCAAATAAAAGTTACTGTAACCAGAGTATAGAAAGATTGTCACAATGTAGGTTTGGAATGTTGTTTAACATGTGGAAGAAGTCTTCCAATGTAGACAAACATAAAAACTAAACACAAGTATTATGTTGTGTAATCTGGTCCAGTTAAAATTGGCTATAATGATGCCAGTAGTTTTAATGCGTTACTTGCCCAGGGAAGTGTAAAATGTCCACTGTTTGGAGATCTAAAACCATATCCATTCTTATACTGTAGACTTATGATAAACTATTAAGCATGTCAACAATTTGTACACTGGAATGATTTTAGCAATAATCGATATCGCTTTGAAAGTGTTTTTAAAGCATTTGAGTCTGCTTGGTTGCTGAGGAAAATTCTTAAGTTTTATTTAAGAATTGTCTTTTATGTACACACTTTTAAGATTTAGGTTTTAGAAGGCCGCCCTGTTTTGGAAAGGGTGTACTTTTGTGTTTGTGTAGCGTTATACGTACAAGGCAACAGAGTTCCATCTCGGAAAAAGAAAAAAAAAACAATAAAGTTTATAGATATGATGACATCATCTCCTGATAGGGGATGCGTACTACCCAGTTGCTATGGCAACGGTATCCTAGGAGACGCGGTGTGTCGGGGGAACGTGCAATTCCGTTACGCCCTGTCGTACAATGTAGTCCTGGGGCAAAAAAGCTGACTTCAGATGACACACCTAATATAAGGTAATAAACACTGTACATACGTTTGAATCAGGTGGTCAGCAATGTTGTACACTACTACAGTTACTGTATGATAGGATATCACACGTACGGGTGCCGTCTGCACCTGGTCAGTTCTAGGGGAGGTTTTCATACAGATCTACCTTTTATCTATTTCTTTATCTGTAACTGTGAATGTAGTACATTTCACAGACTAGATATACCGTTGGTAGGAATGTACAATGCCTCTGCTGAATCTATGTTTTAAGTTGGGGAATCAGTGCAATAAAAAGAGTTGTGTAGAGGAGACTTAATTGTTGCAACCGTATAGGCAGAACAAGGACCTTTGTACCTTTGAATTTCATAATTATTATTATAGAAGAGCGAAAATATACCCCTATGTCAAGATATGGTGACTGTCGTGTGCGGTGTCTTTATTTCGTCGTCAATATATGAGGTACACGGTGTTGTTGTTATGTGTTAAACCACAGCAAATAACTTTCATGGACTCCAAAGACTTTAGAGTCCACAAAATATATTTGCTGTGGCCTTTATACACATTAGAGACCATAGCCATAGACTGCTGTAATTGGGCATAAGATAACATATTCATAGTCCAGAGAGCAAGAAATTTACAGGTGGCCTAGCTACATTCCGATATGCGACGGGCTGGGGGCGCCCAGTAGTTTCTAGTGATTTCATGTTCTCAGCTTGCGTTGTTCCCAAAATCAGTTTTCCCAGTCCGAAACTGTACATAACGGTTCTGACGCAAACCTTCCGCCCGCGGGAGACCTCAGCAACACGGGACGCAATCAGCTGGGATTTACGGCTTACGGACAGGATCGATGTCGTGCTGGAAAGTGCCTGGAACCATCATTAATTCAGACTGCTGATAGACGGAAGGTCTGATGACCTGGAGTAGCGACGAGAGGTGTTCTGCCTCATGGGTTTGGGGCATGAGAGATAAGATATCCTCCACAGACACTTTTAAAGATTATATCCTCCACAGACTCCAAATTTAATGTGATAGGGCGAAAAAACAAGGCGGACCAAAAAACAAGATTCCTACATTTACAAATTTTTGTTTTATTTTTGTGAATATTTCTTACAAAATACAGCTGTCTTCTTACTAAAAGGTCTTAGATCTTGTCGGCTTTTGGTTCTGTTCTAAAATTGTAAAGTTACATCAAAACCAATAAGAAAAAAAAGGCTGTAAGAAGAGTCGTCAAATTTTGGTTCCTAAGTCTCCACCGCTTTTAGAACCCGAACCTTGTTCGATCATGTTCGATAATTCGAACCGAGCGCGCGGTCGAAAACTTGTTTTTTTTTTTGGAAACGGATGAGAGCAGCGCTAGCCATTAGGGCTGCGGACCGGTACACTGTACCGGTCCAATACCGTAAAAATCGTTTCGGTACAGGTCCAAAATACCGGATCATGAAGTAACGAGTATATACCGAAATAGCTAGTTTACACCATGTATATGACTAAAGATAGGTAAATCCTACCACAAAGACGAAAAATTAGCACTGGAAAAGACGTAAACACCGTCGATTGATTTGAGATCCTCAGTCTCACGAGACATCGCGAGAGTGTGGCTGATCCAGGGTTGTGATTGGTCAACAAACTCAAATCAGGTCAGAGGTCAGTCATTTTCCCTTCCCTCCAACACTTTATTATTGTTTCTGTGTCATGATTGAAAAAGTGAAGAACACGTGTTAATTTGTCAAATTGTTCAGGTACAGGTACAGGTCCGGACCTGTACCTAAACCTCTGTACCAGTACCTGTACCTGTACCTGATGTTACGTTTAGGTACGCAGCCCTACTAGCCATCCATCCAAGCATGGCGTAACAGAACTAGGAAGATGGACACCTGCTTCTCCGGCTAGAGGGTCCCCAAGGTGCGTGACCTTTGGCCTGGGGTAATGGCGGCATCTGTCAGAGTAATTACAGAAGATGGCTCAGTGTTCCCGGAGGAGTTTCGCACGGTTGTGACATCAATAATAGGCGGGAGCAATCCACAGTAGCCTCTAGAACAGACCCGGGATGAAGTTTCAATATTTCCTTCCTTTACTCTAGCCAAGTAATATTGTAATGTTCTTGACCATTTGTTGTCGCCTCACAATAAGTCTTAACAGTAGCTGATGACTGATTGAATGTTATACCTTGGCCGCAATAGCGGTCGATACAGGTGTTCCGGTTTGTGTGATTGATAACTAGCCGTGTCACATGGGTTCTATTTGGTTATCAGCTTCTAAATGTTCCATAGAATAATCTAGATAACAAGTTTGGAATACCAGATTCAAAAGTTGGAATTAATATTGTCACAATTTGTGCAATTAGGTGCACAAAAATTAGGAACTTTTTGCATTAAACGTTCGTTTTCTCAGGTGGATATGCTATGATAAAATACAATGATTCCGGGTGATACGGAATACACCTCTATGTACAAAGATACCTCAGCGATGTCTGTTCTCCAGGCTAACGGATAAGAGGACAGCTCCGTGAGATGAGCCCCGCCTAAACCCTGTCCCGCTGACCCAGAGGATTAGCGGATTAGCCGGGGATTAACACTGCAAATCGGACCTGCTGTGGGGGATTAGGGGATTAAGTTGACAACTAGTTTACCCGGTGGACTAGAAGTCCATTAAGGGTGGCCCATATGTTAACGATATCGTGCCCTGTTACAGGACATTTTCTGGTATACTTAACAAGTGAATGAATGAATGAATGAATGAATGAATGAATGAATGAATGAATGAATGAATGAATGAATGAATGAATGAATGAATGAATGAATGAATGAAGGAATGTTAACTGGTATGTAGCACAAATTTTACTTCAGAAATCTTTAAGCCTCGTTATTCACCTTTTACAAGCCGGTGCTACATACCCTAATAGACCCTTACCTGCAGTACCGCTCCCGGCCGTATCCGGAAAAATCACAAAGGAACCGAATAGAGAAATGGCAAAAGGCTCGCAAAGAGGTTTTAAATTTTGAGACTTATTTGGCCTTAAACTTGCAATTGTAACCGTGTAATAAAAGAAATACGGCATTTGTGAACACTATTGTAAAAAATGAATACCAAA